TCACTAACTTGACTTGCAGCTGAGTGTCGCCTTTATATAGCAGTCGGCTGCTCGCAGACGAAAGCGTAGAAGCATCGAATTGTTCGCTATGGAAGGTTCTTGTTTTATCGTACTAGTTATCGGCTTCTCTCTTTCATCTGACATTCGCCTCGCATTTTCGCAACAATATATATATTTCGTGTATACATATCTTGTTGTTGTTGTTGTTGCTGTGGAGGCTCCAAGGCCTTTGACTTGGGGTCTTCACAGTATGTAATGATAACTTCAAGTTAAATTTTTTCGCTCGCTAAACACGAAGGTTGTGTCCTAAAAATAATACAAAAATAGCCTAAATTCAATAAGAAATTTGTGTATAAATTTCAAAAAAATGTGCGTGTTTTAATTAAATACTAAATAAATAAATAATTGCAGCAAGTAGCTGATATTTAAACAAATATGATTTATCATTTTATCAAATTTGACATTAATTTTTATAATACCGTCATGGGGTATCTGCTATTCATTTCCGAAGTATTCCTATATCTTTAAAACCTTATATAAAAAAAGTTTAACGACTTTGTATTATCTTTATGGAGAATTCCAATCCATAACTTGAAAACTCTTTAATCTGTTGCTTTTATATAGACAGGAAGCTTATGTTTTTGTGAGTAACTCGCTTGTTATTATATATTACAACGTACGACACGATTTTAGACCTCCGAAAAAATCAAATATTTTCGGAAATCAGGACCATAAAACATTCTGATGTCTGGCCGTTTTTATAGATCAAGTCCTTTATAGTTTTTAGGGGTGAATGTATCTTCTAAAATGTATTAACAATTTATAGAAATTGGTATCTGAGGGTATTTGGAGTCGCTGATTATGACTCTGATGTCAGATTTTCAAAATTCAAATTAACGGATCCAATATGGCGGTCAACAACTTAAAGAGCTTTTATAAAGTATTAAAGAACACCTAGACACCAAATTCTTTAAATTATTCATAATTTTTGAAAAGGATCTTGCCACTTTTCATTTAGGAGCTTTTTTCACCCCTTAAAACCCTATTTTTTATCATAGTTTCCGAAAATGTTGGATTATTTCGTGGGCCAATAAAAAGTCAATAGACAATTTTTCACCTCCTTTATCCTGAGTCAGTACTTTACTTATAGGAATCTTTTCGGGATGGCAATTATTTTTTTTACATACTGTGTAATTTCTGGCATATTCTTTAAATGTTTTCCACAATTTCGGCCAATAACAAATTTTTTCTATTTCTTTAATATTTTCAGTATTACTGCGATGAGCTTGGATTGGATAAATGGATCATTGGGTAACGATCATAAATAGTATGTTCATTAATTTTTTTTTAATTGATGACCAATCATTTTGGTGAATCATCTTCATTTGCTTCTTTTTTTGGTACCACCCATGTTGGTGAATTATAAATCCATTTACCTGACCTTAATATTAAATATTTTCTCTCAACATTCTATTAACGGGTGGATGAACTGATTATGAATTGAGTATTGTCAACTTCATATGGGTTCTTAATTTTTCATTCGTATTTTTGCGTTTACATTGGTCATAAATTGAAAGCTAAGACTTAGGCTTGTATTGCACTATCTTAGGTTGTGTATGCGTTTTATAATTTTTATATTGCTTTTTTCTCACTATTGTTATCTTAAAGACTCTTGACTTATTATGATATCATCTATAAATGTGTATCTATCCTCATAGGAAAGGATGCCCTTTTATTCTGGAAGGTTTTGAGTTAGTAACCCAGGATTTAGCTAATTTATAAACCGGGGGGTGCCATTTGCGGTTGTTGTTGTTGTTGCAGCGGTTCGCTAACCCCACTTAGTGGGTGGTGATTTTTTCTCCCAGCACGTCATTCACTGGAAGGGAGTGTTTGAAGGTTTTGACTGACTCCTGGTGAATGGCATTCAGTGCTTTTCTATACGTCCTGTCCAACGGTTGTTGCATATGTTGCTGGATTGTGTCCTTTAAATCTAGTCCCTTTCTTCCTGATGTGCCTAGATGGAGGTTCAGCTTCTATTAGGTGCTACCACAAGGAGCACCCCAATAGGAACTTCTTGCACAGCAAAACATTATGCTCCTTAACTCGTAGCATAGATGCTTCGCTGTGCAAGTGATGCTCCGGCTACATCAGGAGGTTTCCTGCCGCTGTCCTGAGCGCAGTGTTCTGGTAAGCCTTTTGTTTCTTCATCTGCGTCTCGTTCGTCCCCGGCGCCCAGGTCGGTGCAGCATAGTTTACGACCGGTCGGTCAATTGCTTTAAAAGTTGCCAGCAAAGTTTCTTTGTCTTTACCCCAGGTGCAGCCGGCTGACGCTTTGAGTATTTCGTTGCGGCTCTGAATTTTTGCCGCAATTGCGGTTGTGTGCGGGGTGCAGGATGTCTAGTGTCACTCCCAGTATCCTTGGATCATTTACACTTCTCACATCTAGTTCAACTCTGTATTCCCTCGTTCAGCTGGTGAAGAGGATAGCCGAGGATTTAGTCGCTGTTTTTTAATTGTCGTGCAGAGAAAAAGTGAGAAAGTGCGGCAAGGCAGCAGTTGACTTTCGAGCAGAGGTCATCAATATCCTGGACAGACGCCATTAACGTACAATCATCGGTATTCGAGGTTAGGAGAACTCCTTCTGCTGAAGGAGGGAGTTTCGAAATATAAAAGTTAAACAGTAGCGGGGAGGGGACACCACCCTGCGGAACCCCCTGTTTAATTTACCTAAGTGTCGAATCTCTGCGTTTAAAACCCTGATTAGGGGATTTCCGAGATGGGAGCTTCGGAGTATGTCGCGCCTGGATGTTAATACCGTCGCTTCTGTCGGAAAATTTGGGCGGATTTCCGAAATTCCCCCTGCTGGGATGAGGCGGCTGCAGCGGTCACGACGACTCTGCAGAATAAACTAATGGTGACGACTGATGGAGTGGGTAGAGCACTAAAGGCGTTCTCGGTGAATTCCGTGAATCCCGACCAGTTAGCTTTTTTAAAGGTAACAAATGTCCGGTGATCCGCGGAAACAAACTTGGGAGGCCTGTCTATCGAGATTTGTATTGGCAAGTGGTCCGATGATAGTGTAAGTACAGGTCGCCAGACTATACTGTTTATCAGACCAGCGCTCGCAATTGTTATTTCCGGTGGGGATATCATCGTTCATTTTGCAGAATGGCGAATCGTCTATCTGTTCTGCCAGTTCCATTCCCCTACGGTCATTTGACAGGCTAGAATGCCAAAGATCGTGATGTGCGTTAAAGCCTTCAAAACTAAACGGGTGTCACTCCTGAAAGCGCAACTATATCGGAGGTGTATCCTACTGGGCAACTTGTAACTGGAGGGATGGAAACATTAAATATCTCGAGATCGGCATCACCTGACCCTACGAGCAGTCGATAAGACGATACTGCGCGGTATCGTGCCATGGTCTCGTTCGCGATCCTTGCGAATTGCAGCAATTTACAGGTCGTCGATCTTCCTCAAGAGTCCGTTGCAGTTGAAATGCCACTCTCAACTCTCAAGGCAGCCGGTTCTTCGTACCGAATTTTATCCGGACAAGGGTTGTCACCCTTTCAACGACCTAACCCCGTTTAGGTCAACAGGTAACATGCCACTTACGGTCGTGAATCGCGGTTTCAAAATATTTCATGTTAACTTGCCCTGGCAATATTTCTCCAAATGCGAATCTATGTGGTCACATTTGCAGTAGTTATTTTTCTTATCGAACTTATTTATTTAAATCTGGAGCGGATGAATCTAAATTTCCTTTTTGTCGTGATTTTGTATCCTTCTCTCGAAATTTGACTGACGTTGTCGTCGAGTGGCTTGAGATGCATAGTTTACCTTAAACTTGCCTCTACTTTTCTGTATAGAAAGATTGGTGTTTACATGAGTAATTAAGAGATAGTCCTTGTAGTGTATAAGGTGGGTGGTTCATTTTTGACCATCGGGGAACTCATTCCTCGCTTAACAGATTATTCCCAATTCGCTAGTGTTGAAACATTGCGAAGCGAGTAATTTGCCCATAGAAAGGCAAGTATTGATTGTTATTTGAATCTGTTGTATTCTATACTACATTCTCTGTATAGGCGGTGGAATGTGTAAGTGTTAGAGCTTTTGTTCTTGGTTTCTGTACATTGCCGTTGACATGTTCCTGAATTAGGTCCACTCTTCCGTTTCTTTATAGAATGCTTGTGTATAACACACACGTACTTTGAGAAATCTGTATGAGCCAGGTTGTGTTGGAGGAGTGGGTAATTAGCGTGATGGGGGTGTTGGTGTGGGAAAAATTAGTATTTTGTTTAAAACGGCCAAAATATGTCATTGCTCTGGATTTTCATTAACATGGGTTGTCATTCGTGGTCTCGAAGACCTAAATACTCGTACACAAAGAAACTCTTATTCTTCCACATAGTCGTCTCGTATTTATACCCTTGTTCAAATTTTGCTGCCTTATAACAAGCTTATAAGGTACGTGGTTTCATTTCAACAAAATTATCATTTTTTTTTTGTCACTACTTTTCACTTTTACAATATGTATGTGCGTATGTACCTACGTCGCCTTAACCCGCCTGTATGACTGGGCTCTCGGTGCGTGATATTAGAGGAAATGTGTGAACGGAGTGAACGATACTGTCGTTACGACAGAGCGTGAAAAAACCATCCCCAAGAAAATAATGAGACTCTTATTTGCTCGGTTGGGTGTGTGCCCCGACCTCAGTGCTTCTCCGGGTGATTCCGTCCAAATTCCGGCTTCGCTTTTGAAGATTGCTAGAATCTGTTCCGTCACGCACTTACTAGCCAGGTCACAAGCTACGCGTGAGCCTTCAGAATTCTTCTGGAAGTGTTTATTCATTTAACTGCATTGGAAGTATTAAATATCGCATAACGAAATCTGTTTAATAAATATTTGTTTGACAACTTTGTTGAAATAACCATGTTCACCTTTCGTTTTTTTTTTATTAACATACATACAAAATATTTTTATCAATGCCATTAATTGTTCTTTTTATTCCCCACATATCATTTCAGTTTCATTAAAAATTCATCGAGAAAAGTTTATCACATTCACAGTGGCACTTCAATGCGTCTGCATTTGTTGCGCTTTTTTCTTAAGACTAATAAAGTTTAGTTAACAGAAGAACTAAGACCGGTCGATTATCATTAACGTAGCGTCTTTGCTGGTTTTTTGTCTTCTCTTACACGGTTATAGTCGAGCTAGCAACATTGCGCCTCAGGCGGGTACTGCATCGAAAACTTTCAAAGCTGGATTATTCTTATGCATTCTTTATTTGCTGAATTATTCCAATGTCACCGTTTATCTCGTACTTCTCATTGTTCTATTGTCCGCGGTATTCCATGCCCCCGCATCCTAGATTTATGTTTTTTATTTTTCCTATCAACAGCGCAACTATTTGCTTACACTATCCAAAAATGTTTTAGTTTCAATTCTAGGATTAAGTTTGACGAGTCTGTACAGGAAGTTATATTAACAATGTGTAGAATTTTACTGTATTCGTTAGTTAGGACAACAAAATCATGTTAAGAAGGAAATACGTGTACGTCGATCAAGAACGGCTTTTAATATTGCTACTGTAACATCGCTGTCATCGTCCATGCCTCAGCATTATAGGACGGGAATGATAAGCGATTTCTAGAGTTTGGTCTTCGTTCGTGGAAAGAGGAACTTAATTTTCAATTGCCTTGAATTTGCGTTTATATTCGTGTTCCATGTCGTGTGAGATTTTTAATTTATTGCTGCAGAAAATTATAAGATATGCAGCTGAATAGAGAAGGTATTATCTTCTATAAGAATGTACAGCTGCTGGCGTACGTCGATGTTGTTGACATTATTGTCCTCAGCCATCGCCGCGTGAGTTCAGCTTTCTCCAGAATGGATATGGAAGGAAGAATGGAAGTCTCGGAACTTGGCTCCCATGTCTCTGTTAATAGTCACAAATTGGAAGTTGTAGATAACTTCGTGTGTCTTGGAACCAGTACAAGGTACAAACACAATGTCAGCATGGAAATGCTTCTTTCCAATCCTTTGCATATATGATACATAATCACAGTGTTTAACAAGTTACTGACTTCATTGATTTAGATGTCACAATGGACTGTAAGCTAAGTTTTAGAAATCATATAGCAAATACTTTTGCTAATAAGGCAAAGGGCGTTACAGCTTTCATTTAACGTTGGGATAAGGAATCCAATGACCAGTATATTGTCAAATTACTCTTTGTATAGTGGTAATTTGTATTCTGTACAAAAGAAATTAATCCTATTCTAAGCTGGGATACGAACAAGAACATACCTTCTTACAAAAGTCGT